TATATATATATATATATATATATATATATATAAAAACCTACTATTTACTACTTGTACTACTATTCCTACTTTGTGGTTTTTCACTTGTCGCGGGGCTTCCGGGTACAGATCCCCCGCGATAAACGAGGGACTACTGTACTCTAACGTCAGTCAAAAGAACTACACTACCCAGAATTCCAGCCACTGCTTTCTGCCGAAATGCAGGGAAAGTTTTGCAACACAAAGTCAGAAGTAATGATCTATCCTTTAAGCGCACAGAACTGGCAGGTAAGTTGCAAATAATCCTGAAGCTCAGTTATGAATGCACACATCAACCTGGACGAGGCGGTGGGCTTCGTCGCTGCAGGGCAGGTCTGCAGAACCAGAACAGAGCCCGACTGGAACTGAGCTGCTGTTCTTCTGGCGAGTAAAATTTTGCAGTACTGTACAGTACATATACTGTATGCATGTTGTTGAAATGATGTTGATTTAAGAGTTTAGAACATTGCAAGAGTGTGGGAATGGTTTATGAAGCCTTAAAATATATAAAAATACTAAAATAAATATAGCATTCTTACTTCGTGCTTTTTTACCTATCGTGGTGGTGTGTGGAGCGTAACCCCCGCGATAATCGAGGGACTACTGTAATTATTTTTAGCAACAACTGCAAGGCAAACTTTTTTTTTAAATTAACACTGAATCAATGAATTTGGTTCTGAACGGTCTCAACGTCCTTCGTGTCGATGTTCATGTGTCGTCTGTGAAAACTCTGTTCTGGGTTCAAAATGCAGATAACTTAACGTTATGTTTATATCTTTAAGTTTAAGAACAACGTGCACGTAGCTACCTGACGTTAGCCAAGTTTACCTACTAATTACAAACAACTTTGGGATCAGTCAGGGCTGTTTTTTAAACTACTTACACCCCTCCCTGTTCATTTCCTGTGACATGATTATTTTGGCAGAAAAATGAAAGAATTTTTATATAGTTGTTAAATTTTTACATGTAATTTGCATTTTGTGCCTTCATTTAAATTAACATTTACCATTAATATAGTCTCTTGTGCCCTTATAACCAGTAGTACTTTTATTAATTTGATTACTTATGTCTTCTACACTGGTTTTGATCTAACAAAAGGCGTTAGTTAAAATTAACCAGACTTT